ATCTTTCTCATGGTTACAAATTGAGCTCAAGCACTCATTCTAAGAAAATCAATCTCTTCCAATAACAAGTTGGGAGGAAAATGACATTTGCTTTGAGATACTTCAATGAAAAAAAAAATCACGATATCATTTCATTGAAAAGAGAAATACTATTTTCCTTCTTAGCAAAAATAAGAAAAGGAAAGCTGTTTCAAACACGAGTTAGCTTGATTGCTGAATCATTTAAGAAAAAAATGATTAATGTATGTAGAGAAAAGTGAGAGAAATCTTGCTCACCACCTCACAACTACTTTTTAAAATGCCTATTCAAGGAACGCTACCAACAAGCAAGTGGAACAATTGACAGATTTCCGTTTTGAGACAGAAAGAGGCTAATGCAAGGTGAGCGGGTTCATATATACATCTGGACATATGCATTTAATACAGGCTACAACTACATCTCGGTCGTTTCAGTCACACAACTGTACTGCCACACTTTGGACATTCCTGGTCACTGCTGCTGAAAAATCCCCCATTTTTCCAGGAGAAAAAGAAATGGATCAAAGTGGGCACCCGATGGGCAATGTGGCACCACTCCAGTTCCATTTCTGCTCCATTACTGAATAACTCTCGATTCTCAATCGGGAACCATTTTCAGAGAGCAAGGGACTGCAAGAGACGTTGAAACATCAACTTTTACACAACCAAATGAACCAGGAAGCATGAAAGAAGTAGTACATATAAATAATAAAACTAATAATAATACTAATATTTATTTATCTCATTTCTACCCTACCTTTCTCAAGCCCGGAGGGGACTCAAGGCGGCTTTACAACATAGGCAGCTATTCGATGCCATTAAAAACAATGCAAAATTACAACCAACATTTAAAATAGGATTATAAAATACATCAGAACATTTGAAACATTAAACCAGTATCATCACTGCTTCACCCCAGTGGCGCAGTGGGTTAAACCCCTGTGCTGGCAGGACTGAAGACCGACAGGTCGCAGGTTCATAAGCTGTATATAAGCTATTTTAAATTGTAAGTCGCTCGGAGCACTTTGGTGGAGAGTGACTAATTAAGAAATAAAGTGATGATGATGATGAGGTTCGAATCCGGGGAGAGGTGGATGAGCTCCCTCTATCAGCTCCAGCTCCTCATGCGGGGACATGAGAGAAGCCTCCCACAAGGATGATAAAAACATCAAAAATCATCCAGGCATCCCCTGGGCAACGTCCTTGCAGACGGCCAATTCTCTCACACCAGAAGCAACTTACAGTTTCTCAGGTCACTCCTGACACGACAAAAAAAAAACCTGCTTCACCACACTAATAATAATAATAATAATAATAATAATATGATATTGCCAACTCAGAGAAGAAAGAAGAGTTAGGTGATTTTATTGTTGTTTTTAAAATCAAAGAAATGAACTAACAGTGAGGAAAATTAATAGACACCAACAACTAGAATTAATAGATTTGGATGTGAAGAACACATGAATCCACACAGAAAGAAAGTGGGTTTGAGGGTGGAGGAGACGACACATCAACCCAACTGAAGCCCACTGAGACCAGGAATGGTGAGGGGGAAAGGAGAATCGGCACCTGATAAGTAAATAGTATTTATAAGATAACACAAACCAAAGACTGACTCCAAGAAAAAGTCTGTTTGATAAGATTGGTGGCTATACAAGGAACTGTGAATATACAAGGATGGAGAATAATAGTCAAGTCATCCTAGAAATTCATAGAATCATTGAAAAATTGAGTTGGAAGAGACCTCATGGGCCATCCAGTCCAACCCCCTGCCAAGAAGCAGGAAAATCACTATATGAGGAAGCAATGGGCTCAAGGAAGGCAAGAGAAAGAGCAGACCAAGAGACAACTCATCCACCATGTCTGCCCAGAGTCCCATTATTAAGAGAAATGGATTCCTCTCCCTACATACATGGAACCACAATAGATTAAAGAAAAAAAGGCTGAGTAGCCATTCAAAAAGAATATGTCATCCCTCTTCAACTTGACATCTCCCCACCCCTTGCCCACCTTCAAGCCTGCATCTCCATAACTGTTTCCAGAAAGATATCCCTAAACAAACAGCTGATTGTCAACCCAAATCCTGCTCCTTCTCAATGAAAGACTTCAGTGTTGTGTATCATCCAGAGCCATAAAGTTGACCGACAATAAATCAGTGCATTCCCGGGCAGGTTTCGCCCAATTTCTGTTCTCCCCTTGGGTTCAACTCAACACAATGATGAATCATGTTTCAGATAAGGGTCCAAGCCACTTTTCATTCTTGCCGGGAAGAATTGCCTCCCGAAAAAAATCAGTTAATAAAGAAATCCCCATAAAACCTTTAAACTCAAAGAACCCAAACACCCTTCTAGGGAAGCAATGGAACGGCACTCTTCCCATCCCTCACCCACAGCCCTTGGAGAGATGAAACTTCAGCAATGGAGTGATTCTTTGGCTCAGGTTCTGCAGCAAGGACACACGCAGGAGACAAGGCAGACTTTTCAGACATTTATTCAGGGTCTCTTCTTCCTAACTGTAGTGTGTTTTGTTTTTAAAAAAGGAAACCAGGGTCAAATGGATGCCTTCGATTCTTCTTTTTAGCCTCCAAAATCCAGGAGAGAAGACGGGTTGTGTTGTGAGTTTTCCAGGCTGTATGGCTGTGTTTCAGAAGCATTCTCTCCTAACATTTCCCTGTTTTTGAGTGTTGTTCTTTTTTTTTACTGTTATGATGGACCGCTCCAACAGAAGTGGTCCACTCCAACAGATCTGCTGGAAACTAGGAAAATGCCCAGGGTGGGAGAAAGAACTCTTGTCTGTTCGATGTAGGTGCAAATGTTTCAATTGGCCACCTTGATTAGCATTTAATAGCCCAGCGGTTTCAAGGTCTGGCTACTTACTGCCTGATGGAAACTTTTGTTAGAAGATGATTAGCTGGCCCTGATTGTCTCTTGTCGGGAATTCCCCTGTTTTTGAGTGTTGTTCTTTATTTAGTCTTATGACGGACCACTCCAACAGAAGTGGTCCACTCCAACAGATCCATTGGAAACTAGGAAAATGAGGTTTATTATATATATTTCTCCCACCCTGGACATTCCACAGATATATAAACCCCATTTTCCTAGTTTCCAACAGACCTCACAATCTCTGAGGATGCCTGCCATAGATGCAGGTGAAATGTCAGGAGAGAATGATTCAATTGGCCACCTTGATTGGCATTTAATGGTCCAGCAGTTTCAAGGTCTGACTTCTTACTGCCTGGAGGAATCCTTTGTTGGGAGATGATTAGCTAGCCCTGATTGTCTCTTGTCTGGGATTTCCCTGTTTTTGAGTGTTGTTCTTTATTTAGTCTTATGACGGACCACTCCAACAGAAGTGGTCCACTCCAACAGATCCATTAGAAACTAGGAAAATGAGGTTTATATATATTTCTCCCACCCTGGACATTCCACAGATATATAAACCCCATTTTCCTAGTTTCCAACAGACCTCACAATCTCTGAGGATGTCTGCCATAGATGCAGGTGAAATGTCAGGAGAAAATGATTCAATTGGCCACCTTGATTGGCATTTAATGGTCCAGCAGTTTCAAGGTCTGACTTCTTACTGCCTGGAGGAATCCTTTCTTGGGAGGTGATTAGCTAGCCCTGGTTGTCTCGTGTCTGGAATTTCCCTGTTTTTGAGTGTTGCTCTTTATTTAGTCTTATGATGTACCACTCCAACAGAAGTGGTCCACTCCAACAGCTCTGTTGGAAACTAGGAAAATGGGGTTTTATATATCTTTCTCCCACCCTGGAAATTCCACAAATATATAAACTTTTGCCTTCTTTCTCAAGGGAAGAGGAAGGAGTGTATTTTGTTTGAGTCTTAGATTTTGTGCAGGGTCAAAACAAGCCCTATGAGGAGCGGCTTAAGGAGCTGGGCATGTTTAGCCTGAAGAAGAGAAGGCTAAGAGGAGATATGATAGCCATGTATAAATATGTGAGAGGAAGCCACAGGGAAGAGGGTGCAAGCTTGTTTTCTGCTTCCCTGGAGACTAGGACGCGGAACGATGGCTTCAAACTACAAGAAAGGAGATTCCATCTGAACATGAGGAAGAACTTCCTGACTGTGAGAGCCGTTCAGCAGTGGAACTCTCTGCCCCGGAGTGTGGTGGAGGCTCCTTCTTTGGAAGCTTTTAAACAGAGGCTGGATGGCCATCTGTAAAGGGTGATTTGAATGCAATATTCCTGCTTCTTGGCAGGAGGTTGGACTGGATGTCCCATGAGGTCTCTTCCAACTCTTTGATTCTATGATTCTATTATTCTTCTGTATGAAAAACAGAGATCAGACCTCCAAACCTCTGAGGATGCCTGCCATAGATGCAGGCAAAACATCAGGAGAGAATGCTTCTGGAACATGGTCAGACAGCCCAGAAAACTCACAACAACCCAGTGATTCCAGCCATGAAAGCCTCCAACAATACATTAAGACTGGTATCTGTCCCCTGGCAGCTCCATAGGCACCCAAGACCTACAGAAACACTGGAGGAAAGAATGCCTCCTCTTTCTGTCCAAAGACAGAGAGGGGCAGAGATTCCAAAATGGGGGAATGCTCTTCCTCACCTATCTTGATGGACATCTTCCCCTGCTTTGGGGGAAAACTGCCCCGAGCAGAAGGGAATCTCTCTCTTCCAAAGCATCCCATCTCCATCCATCCTCCCAAGAAATCCAGCCTTTGCAATATTGGACACAGGCACCCCTTTCCCAACCAGATCCTTGCAAAGTTTCCCATCCTGTCTTCCTTTTTGGAGAGGGAAGCACCACAGAGGCAGAGAGGAAAGAGGGAGGAAAGGCTCCAAGCCTTGCACCTAATGTAAAAGGGAAGCAGGAGAGAGAAGGATGCTCCAGCCAAGCTTGAGACACCAATGGACTGCAGACTGGCCAACAGAACCTTCTGAAGGGCTCTCCAAAGTTCACCCGCCCTCCTTTTCTTCCTTCCCTCTCCCACCAAAAAGCCTTACTTACCGGCGGCTGTGGATGCCAAAACCCCCACCGACAGCAGCAGAATCCGGCTCCAATAGCTCACCTCCACCGTCATGAGAGCAAAAATCCCCAATTTCCCCCAATGCCGTTTAAAGCTGCAGCGGCATGCCGGTTTGTCCCAACCGAAAGCGGGTTGCATGTCAAAGAGGAACCGAGGGGTTGATTTGCTTGGAGGAGGGAAGGAAAGGAGGAGGAAGAAGGGAGGAGGGAAGAGGAGAAAGAGGAGGAGGAGGAAGCTGGGTTGGCAAAGGAGGGGGGGGGGAGAGGGGGAGAGATAGAGAGGAGGGATGGAGAGAGAGAAAGAGAGGTGCTGCTGCTGGGTGATTGGCTTGGCGCCTTCTCCTTCTCCTTCTTTCAATCCCCCCTTTCTTGGATGCGTAAAACCATCTCTTGGGGAAGAGACAGAAAGCAAGGCAGGAGGTTTCCAGCTCCGGGCGGAAGGATAACACCCTGAAGCTATTATATATCACTGTAGTATCAATATATAGATAGATATAGATGTATTTTTTCCCTGGGAGTGATAGTAGGGGGGAACCAAAGGCATAATAGGGAGCCCTTTCTTCCCCCTTCCCCTCCCAGCTGCTGCAGCTGGACTGAACCAAATCAAACCCGGCTTGGGGAGACCAGCTTGGCTCTTCCCTGCATCTTTTAATACACCCCCTTTTTTGGTTCTTCCTTCTCCCCGTTTTTCCTTCTATTTTTTAGTGTCTCCTTCTATCTCTCTCTCTAAACAGGGCCAGGTTTGATGGGATGGAGAGGCTGGCACTCCCTCTCAGCAGGCATCTGACTTTGGAGAGGGAACGTTTGGAGACACAAGGATGCGGCTTTGGGCACTGGGACCACTGTCTCAGCCTCCCTGGCTTTCAAAAAACACACACACACTAGACACACACAACCCTTTCCTCCTCCTCCTCCTCCTCTTCTTCTTCTTCTTTTCCTTCTCTCTCCCTCTCTCCCGCTCTGAACAGGGCCAGGTCTCCTTCTCTCTCCCTCTGAACAGGGCCAGGTTTGATGGGAGGGAGAGGCTGGCACTCCCTCTCAGCAGGCATCTGACTTTGGAGAGGTAAGGGATGGAGACACAAGGATGCGGCTTTGGGCACTGGGACCACAATCACAGCCTCCCTGGCTTTCAAACAAACACACACACAGACACTCTAGACACACACAATCCTTTTTTCTTCCTCTTCCCCTTCCCCTTCCCCTTCCTCTTCCCCTTCCTCCTCCCCTTCTTCTTCTTCTTCTTCTTCTTCTTCTTCTTCTTCTTCTTCTTCTTCTTCTTCTTCTATACAGCTCCGGCCCAGCATATCTGTCCGAACGTATCTCCTTCTATGTCCCACCTCGGAGTTTAAGATCGTCTGGGGAGGCCCTGCTCTCGACCCCACCTTTATCACAAGTGAGACTGGTGGGGATGAGGAACAGGGCCCTCTCAGTGGTGGCCCCTTGCCTGTGGAATTCACTCCCCGGGGGAAATTAGGTCATCGACATCCCTCCTTTACTTCAGAAGGAAGTTGAAAACATGGATATGGGACCAGGCCTTTGGGTAATCTGGCAGACTGACAAGGTAATGACGACCAGAGATTGGTAAGGACTATGATAATGATGAATGGACTTACGGATTTTTAGAACTCTGTGAACGTTAGCCACTAGATTAGCTTTTCTTTTAGTTGTCATTGTATTAATTGACTATTTTTAACTATTTGTGATTACTGTTGCTATGTATTTTACTTGTTGAATTGTTGGCATCGAATTGTGCCGGTTGTAAGCCGCCCTGAGTCCCCCCTAGGGGGTTGAGAAGGGCGGGGTAGAAGTCCTCGAAATAAATAAATAAATTCTTCTTCTTCTTCTTCTTCTTCTTCTTCTTCTTCTTCTTCTTCTTCGAGTGTCTCCTTCTCTCTCCCTCTGATTAGTCCCAGGTTTGAGAGGATGGAGAGGCTGGCACTCCATCTCAGCAGGCATTCAACTTTGGAGAGGAAAGGGACGGAGACAAGAGGATGCAGCTTTGGGCACTGGGACCACAATCACAGCCTCCCTGGCTTTCAAACAAACACACACACTCTAGACACACACAACCTTTCTTTCCTCCTCCTCCTCCTCCTCCTCCTCCCTCCTCCTCCTCCTCCTCCTCCCCTCCTTCTCCTCCTCCTCTTCTTCCTTCTCCTCTTCCTCCTCCTCCTCCTCCTCCTCTTCTTCTTCTTCTTCTTCTTCTTCTTCTTCCTCTTCTTCCTCTTCTTTGAGTGTCTCCTTCTCTCTCCCTCTGATTAGTCCCAGGTTTGAGGGGATGGAGAGGCTGGCATTCCATCTCAGCAGGCATCCAACTTTGGAGAGGAAAGGGATGGAGACATGAGAATGCAGCTTTGGGCACTGGGACCACAATCACAGCCTCCTTGGCTTTCAAACACACACACACACACACACTCTAGACACACACCACCTTTCTTTCCTCCTCCTCCTCCTCCTTCTACTCCTCCTCTTCTTCCTCCTCCTCTTCTTCGAGTGTCTCCTTCTCTCTCCCTCTGAATAGGGCCATGTTTGAGGGGATGGAAAGACTGGCACTCCCTGCCAGCAGGCATCCGACTTTGGAGAGGAAAGGGATGGAGACACAAGGATGCAGCTTTGGGCACTGGGAGCACAATCTCAGCCTCCCTGGCTTTCAAACAAACACACACACTCTAGACAAACACAACCTTTTTTTTCCTCCTCCTCCTCCTCCTCCTCCTCCTCCTCTTCTTCTGAGTGTCGCCTTCTCTCTCTGAATAAGACCACGTTTGAGGGGATGGAAAGGCTGGCAAGCCTTCTCAGCAGGCATCTGAATTGGAGAGGAAAGGTAGGGAGACACAAGGATGCGGCTTTGGGCACTGGGACCACAATCACAGCCTCCCTGACTTTCAAAGAAACACACACACTCTAGATAACACAACCCTTTTTTTCCTCCTCCTCCTCCTCCTCCTCTTCCTCCTCCTCCTCCCCCCTCCTCCTCTTCCTCCTCCTCCTCCTCCTCCTCCTCCCCTCTTCCTCCTCCTCCTCCTCTTCCTCCTCCTCCTCCTTCTTCTTCTGAGTGTCTCCTTCTCTCTCCCTCTGAATAGGGCCAGGTTTAAGGGGATGGAAAGGCTGGCACTCCCTCTCAGCAGGCATCCAACTTTCCCAAGAGGAAAGGGATGGAGACACGGGGACCACAACCACAGCCTCTCTGGCCTTCAAACAAACACACACACTCAAGACACACACACAACATTGGACATCGAAAGGAGAAGATCTGGAGAGGATGGTCCAGATGGGTTGCACAAAGCCTTGGGAACTCTCCAAGGCGCAGGGGAAAGAAGGCGCCAATCCCTTTTCACCATGAAATAAAGAAACCAGACACAAGAAAATGGATCTAAAGGGCCATTTTGTGAGCTATTTATTGAAAGAATTCATAATAAGCTGTAAAAGGAAAATCAGTAAACATATCATGACTTGACTGTGGTGGTCCCCACCTTAGCTACCTCCAGGTTGGATTACTGTAATGCACTCTATGTGGGGCTGCCCTTGAAGACTGCCCAGAAACTGCAGTTAGTCCAAGGTCTGCAGGCAGATTGTTAACAGGAGCAAATTAAATGGAGTGGTTAACCCCCTGTTTAAACAGATCCACTGTCTACCGATAAGTTTCCGGTCCTAATAGGTAAAGGTAAAGGTAGTCCCCTGACATTAAGTCCAGTCATGTCTGACTCTGGGGTGTGGTGCTCATCTCCATTTCTAAGCCGAAGAGCCAACGTTGTCCGTAGACACCTCCAAGGTCATGTGGCCGGCATGACTGCATGGAGCGCCGTTACCTTCCCGCCGGAGCGGTACCTATTGATCTACTCACATTTGCATGTTTTCGAACTGCTAGGTTGGCAGAAGCTAGGGCTGACAGCGGAAGCTCACTCCGCTCCCCGGAATCGAACCTGCGACCTTTCGATCAACAAGCTCAGCAGTTCAGTGCTTTAACCCACTGCGCCAAAACTCCCCTTTTTTTGGTTCTCCCCCCCCCCCTGTTTTTTCTTCTTTTTTTTATTTTAGTGTCTCCTTCCCTCTCCCTCTAAAGAGCGCCAAACTTTGAGGGGATGGAGAGGCTGGCATTCCCTCTCAGCAGGCATCCGACTTTGGAGAGGAAAGGGATGGAGACACAAGGATGCGGCTTTGGGCACTGGAACCACAATCACAGCCTCCCTGGCTTTCAAACAAACACATACACTTAAGAGGTACACACAACACTGGCCATTGAAAGGAGAAGACCTGGAGAGGATGGTCCAGATGGGTTGAGCTCCCCAAGGCACAGGGGAAAGAAGGTGCCAATCCCTTTGCACTGGATGCTTGAACTCCCACCATGAAATAATAATAATAATAATAATAATAATAATAATAATAATAATAACCTTTATTTATATCCTGCCACTATCTCCCCGAGGGGACTCGGGGCAGCTAACATGAGGCCATGCCCAAAGATACAGTACAGCAAAATAAAGTGAAAAATACAACAACAAAAATGACATCACAATAAAGTACATACAGTGGCAAAATAAAGTAAACAAAGCAAAATACCATAATAGAAAATCGAACACAATGGGCAAGCCAAATGGACAAGATAAAATGGTAAAACCCTGGATGAGGTAGGAGAAGAAAAAGCATATTTGAAAGGAGCCCAAAAAGGACGAACAGTACAGTTAGGCCTTCAATTTAAAGAGGCCATACACAAGAAAATGGATCTAAAGGGCTATTTTTGGACCTATTTATTGAAAGAACGCGTAATAACCTGTAAAGGGAAAATCTAAGCATATCAAAACTTGACCATAGTGGTCCACGCCTTAGTTACCTCCAGGTTGGATTACTGTAATGCATTCTATGTGGGGCTTTCCCTGAAGACGGCCCAGAAACTGCAGTTAGTACAAAGGTCTGTGGCCGGATTGTTAACAGAGCAAATTAAATGGAGCTGTTTAAACCTCCTGTTTAAACAGCTCCACTGGCTACTGATAAATTTCTGGTCCCTATATATATCATACTAGCGGTCCCCTGCCATGCGTTGCTGTGGCCCAGTCTGGTGATATGGAAAATAAAGTAATTAGAAAGTGCTGGTTTCTAATATATGTAATGTCTTTATGCTTGTGGGTAAACAATATTTCTTGATGTTTCTTTGACAGTGTTGACATAGAGATTGTCTGGTTTGCCTACTCTGGAACATGCCACATATAATTGTCCATCTTTAGGAGTCCCTTTCAAATCTATAATACTTTATCTGTGTGTGTGTGAATCATATATATCTATCTATATCTATGGCTGGATGGCTTTCTGTCAGGAGGGCTTTGATTACGTTTTCTTGCCCTGGTGAAGGGAGTTGGACTGGATGGCCTTAAGTATTTTCTGTTGGTCATGGGGGTTCTGTGTGGGAAGTTTGCCCCGATTCTGTCAT